CCCCAAAACCCCAAAACCCCAAAACCCCAAAACCCCAAAACCCCAAAACCCCAATAATTTTATAGAGGTTGATAAATTAAATAAATGAGTCAACGAAAATGCTGATAAGAGCCTCTAGCACAAATATCTAAGGTCAGAAAAATGTGAGATAACCAACTAATAACAACACAAGAAAATTCTTAAGGATGGTCAATAACAAAGCAGGCTCTCGATTTTTTTAGCCGAGGCTTGGAAAGCTATTAAACAAAAGTCAAAATATGAAAGAAACAGTTGGGAAATCGTCAGAATGTAGTGGCTCGATTCTAAAAGGAAGGGACTAGGCAAAGAACTAAGGCGAGTACTTTACAAGTGAGTTAGGTATAAAATTAAACAACGTTATTCTCATTCTTTTTGTGCATCTGCAAGGCTGGAAGGATGTTGCAGTAAGCTTCTTTGATTTGCTCTCTTGTTTTTGCTCCGGTAAGAACTATCTTTCCGCTAACGAAGATCAACACAACGACCTTGGGCTCATAGATTCTGTAAATAAGCCCAGGGAAGATTTCAGGCTCGTACTGACAGAAATCAACATGCTTATGGCTGAGACTCTCTAATCTAATTGCGAACCCAACGTCAGCAGAGGCAACAATATTCTGGACCTTAAAGTCGGTGAATTTTACGTCAAAACCCATATTCTTAATAGTTTTGGCGTATTTCTTTGCAGCTTTCTTAGAATCCTCCTCAGACTTCGCTCCAGTGCAGACCATCTTTCCAGATGAGAAAATAAGGGCAGTAGTCTTAGGGTTTCTAATCTTCATGATGGCCGCAGCGAATCTCTTTGGATTGTATTCTGTGTTTCTAGCATTCAGAGCGATAGTCTTTAAGTCGAGTTTGCACTTCATATCAACTGTGGAAACAATATTCTGAAGAGTAGGCTCTTCTTGGGGTCTCCTCCCAGTGTTAGTAGCAAGAGAAGGAACCTGATTCAGCTGTCTAATGTCCAAGCCCGAATCATTAAGGGTCTTTTGATAATTTTGTAGACTCTGGCTAGCAGGAGCTCCAGGAGCCTCAAATCCTTTACCAAGAGGAGTCATTCTGGCAGGAGTAGCCCCTAATTGAGAACCCATACCAGGCGTCGGAGTTTTTCTTAAAGTTCCTACAGGAGTTTCCGCTGGCAAAGGGAGAGGTGTCTCTTTGTTAACATCGCTTCTGGTCTCAGATTTGATTAAAGAAGGAGATTTATTCTCAAGTGGGTTTGAGAAATGAATCTGAGGCATAATAGGCTTGGGTTGCTCATACATTGGAGACACCAAGCTCAACCTATGGAAGGTCTGGTTCACTCCACTACTCGCAGGTGTTTGATGTCCTTGGTTCAAAAACTGAGAGATTGATGTGTTTTTAGTCATTACAAGACCAGAGGTGCCACTACCTTCCTTCGTGGATCCACTAGACACCTTACTAGTACCTTCAGCTTTAGTCAAAGTATCGTTATTCTTATTATTTTTGGACGATAAGGACTCCATAGAAGTTAAAAATTTAGGATTATTTATTATATTTTTACTTCAATAAATTTCCTTTATATAGGGGTTTTGGGGTTTTGGGGTTTTGGGGTTTTGGGG